ACAATCCCATGTGTAGTATCATTGCTCCAATAAGGACTTCTTGTGGGAGTAACAATCCCATGTGTAGTATTTGTATTATTTTATCGATCTTCAAAATTACACTAATAATTTTATGTTATATTGTTTATAGGAACTATATGATTTATTAACTTAGTTTGAACCCTCGCCTCGCCCCCTATATTTCCCAACCCATGCGTGTTATTTGCATTCGTTGAGTATAACTGGTTTTTTTTTCAAGATTATGTTTTTTTTCTTATTCTTGATCATACTTTAAATCTTTTGTTTTGTAATTTCGACTACAATGAAACTTCAATCAAAATGTCGCTCTATAATAAATACTTTTAAAACAACGGCATACAAACCGTCTCCACAAAATCCCCGACATTGTACCTCACAAAAAATGGCGAAACCATTATAGGTTTACGTGCTTTAATCCTCAAACTGGCTGATGTATTGCCAAATAAATTTTAATGTCAAGCGATTCTTATATTTTTAATTTAAAAACAAAAATTTTCCATGCTACTTTAAGTAAACATCCTTTGGGTATTAAAGCGTATTACATTATTTGCATCTGGTATTATTCATTGCATGAACAAAATAGTGCAGTCTTTGTATTATTTGCCAATTATATGCTGAGAATAATTACTTACAATAATCTTTGCAGCATGAAACAAATAATTTGGATGCTGTTAAAAATCTCTATATGCAAAATTGACTCGATTAACCCCACTGTTTTGTAATATTGTTAGAACATTTAACTTGATACCAGGAAGTTATGTAATGGCACAACAACAAACCTAAAACCGTGACAAAATAATAGATTTATTTAATCATGTTTTATTTCAAGTATCAAAATTTCTATTAAATCATTTAGTCTAAGACACATTTTTTCTTAGATATTCTATGAAACTACTGACATAAATACACTTTTTATTTTATATATTGACGTTATTAAATATATAGAGAGTATAATGCGAGTAAAATAGGGAATTTCATATTCCAATACAAAAAATTAAATTATGCTGATCAACAGATTTTGCCATTGTTTGATTGTAGAAAAAATGTAATTCTATGACAATAAGTGAATTACAGAAAATATAATGTTTATTTGCCGCTTACTTATGCCGTTAGTCCCCCGAGTGTATCAACAGCCATAGCAAAGTACTGGCATGAAAATACGGAAATAGTGTTATTAAAGTTTGCTGTTACAAAATTTGGAAATTGTATTAAATTTTCAAATATTTTGGCCTCAAACCTCAGTGAAGAGACATTTATTGTCGAAATGCGCATCTGGTGCAGTAATAGATCTATTAGTATCGTTATTTTTTATACTACCACTGGATCGATACCTCTCTGCCTGTGGACTGTTCGTCCCCGATGGTATCACCAGCCCAGTAGCCAGTACTTTGGTAATGGCATGAAACCAAACAATACTATTAAAAGACAATGTTTACCTTTTTTGTGTTATTGCCTTTGTTTTGAAACTTACAATAGATAGAAAAAAAACTGAATAGCAAACATGATCTACAAGACACGATCTACAAATAAGTTGATATAATTGCTGAAATTATTGGTTGAAACGTTATAGTTATTGCCCTTAAATTACATTTTTTCTCAATTTTTGCGTTGGTTGTTATTATCTTCAAACTTAAATAGACATTTAAATAGCCAAAATGATCAGCAAGACAAGATCCACAAATAATTTACATGTTACATGGTCCAGATCGTCGGTCAACTCCTTATGGGGGTTATTGCTCTTTAATGACGGTTTTTGTGAAGTTTTTGCTTATTATCCTGAAAACATTTAGTCTAATAGATATATAATAGAAAATTTAAAAAGCAAAAATGATCAGTAGGACAAAGATCTACAAATATGTCAAACATGGGAAAAATTGTCAGTAAACTCTGTTTAGGAGTCATTGCCCTTATATTTTGAATTTTACCATTTTCTTTCTGTTTTGGTGTAAAATTTGATGGATAAAGAAAAACTGAAAACAGCATAAATATTCAACATACCTAAAATAGTCAGTCGATTCATTATAGGAGTTATTGCATTTAATTACATTGTTTACCTTTCTTTATTTTGGGCAAAAATTATAGAAGATAGAGAGAAGAAACAATAAACCAAAATGAAATTTAAGTAATTTATTATTTTTTAGCCTACAATGTTGACGGACGAGTGCCCAATGTTGAAGATGCACATAGATCTAGGTGAGCGGCACAGGGTCTTTAGAGCCTTTAGTTGGTTTAATCAGCTCTCCAATTTTTGAATAAGTTTTGGATTTTCAAATATGGCCTATAGAGCATCAGGGGGGAGACATTTAATGTCGAAATACGCATCTGGCGCAGTACAATCGGTACCGTTAATGTTATTATTGATAATATAATATTTCCATATGTATTATCGGTGATTTTGTTTGCCTATTATATTGTAGATAAACTTGCTAATACTAAATTATTGTACCAGTAAATAATTTATTTGTATTTACTCAATTTGCCATGTGTTTGATCGAATCGCATAATTTTACAAATGTTAGTCGGATTACCAACTCTTTTTTCAAACTTATTATAGCACAGCATGGTCCGTGTCAAAATAGTGTCATTTCAGTTCAATAAAGAATTATTGAGAATTATATGAATAGGGCAATAAGTTTTTTTTTTGTGCGTTAACTTTACCTGAGGGAGTTGGAACATTAGTTGTAGTACTGTTATGTTAGTCATTAACTAACAATTAACCATCATAAGTCCCAAGGTCATTTTCTCACTAGTGACGTGCTAACATGGCTCGAAATGATGTCAATTTACGACTTTCCATTTACATTTCAATGGTTTGTTCAAAATTTTTTTTTCGATAATCTCTATATTGACTGTGATTATAAAACCCAATACATCGTAGACAAAATATCCATCAACCACAATAAAACAATCTACAAAACAATGTTCAATAAAAAAAACATTCCTAACTTATCTTGATAATGCATCTCAAATTCTTACCTCAGGCTTAATGGAAGTTGTTTTTTATTTTCCCAAAATAATTCTGATAATTGATTAAACTATATCAAACATTGAAAATAAATTCATTATTCCCATAGAATTCAATTGATTATCACATTAGCAGGTTTACAGTGACAAAACATAAACGACAATACTCAAGAGACGTCGATCAATGGTATGTTACATATTGAGATACCTATTCATTCTAATAGCAATCCTCTGCCATTCAGAGAATGAGTTAAGCAATTAATTGTTACCAATGAGGCAAACAGAACATAGTTTTATGGCTTAAGCTTACAACATCAAAGTTTCGTAATGCATTCAACAGGTATATGTTATGCAGCATTTCCGTGGGGCAGATCTATGGAGAGAGTTTTTGCCGAATGTCATCAGGAAAAGACATACTGATGCGTTACAAATTTTGAAAATGGGAATAAAATGCTGAGGAAAAAACTGAGACAACATAAAGATGTTTTCATGGAAACAACATTACCATCCATTACGCTATTACTTCCTGTAATGTTTTCAATTTAATGGTTTCTTCTAAATAAATTTTATGTACATTATTTGTTCAGTCTTTTTGTTCATACACAGTTTTTGTATTGTAAACACAATTTGTCAGATTTACCCTGAATTCAAATGGCATGTTTTTTTTTGTATTGTATATCTAAGATTTAGATATCATATAGTATTGTACTTTTGTTTCTTTGGTTTAAAACTTGTAACAGATTAAGCATTTTTCACTACTCCAAACATTTTTTTATTTATAACTTTAAATTGATCTTTATTATTTTGTTTTTAAATTTATACATTTTTTTATTACGAATTTCTTTTTCATGTTTTATTATGATGATGATAGATGGCTGCTTAACGTCCAGCGTCAAATTAATATGCAAATTCAGGACGAAAACATGAACGTAATATGAATATTTACCCTGCTTTGTACTAGACCGACACGCTGAGCCGTTTTTTTTAACATACTAGTTCACAAGGTAACAGTCCACAGGAAGACATGTCACCTTGCCCGAACACAAGTCATTATTCTGACTCCGAGCCGACCAGTCTTTACTCTTCTCCTTAATGCCGCGTGCCTAGTGGAGAATCAGCAACTACCAATTTTTAAGTCTTTGGTTTGAATTGGACGGGGTTTATTATGTTTTATTATGAGACGTATACTAACCTCTCGATGGTAAACTCTTTCTTACATAATATAAAACCTGAAAACGATGCACAATCAAAAGCCATAGGTACCTTATACAAATGAACTTTGACTTGAATTGTGTATTCTGTCAACCCAAACCGTTAATCTTTCAGTCATAATAAAATCTATAGTGATTAATTTCCGATTAAGTAATATACATGAACATATTTTTCTTTAAATTTCTCTTAGATGAATGTTGGTATATTTCCACAACGCTATTCAATTTTTTTTCCTTCATATAAATCATTGGGATGTTCATTCGACATTAATCAAACAGATCAGTATCATTAGTTTTGAATTAAGTGCAAAACTGTTAAAATTTCAGAAATAGCCTCATTTTGAGATCTTGTCAGTAATATTTAGATACGAACAAACTTTAAGGCTTTACGCTGACTATGCGGTAAGGGTTTTACCCATTGCTGAAGGCCGAACGGTGACCTATTATAGTTGTTAATTTCTGTGTCTTTTGGTCTCTTGTGGAGAGTTGTTTCATTAGGCAATCATACCACATCTTCTTATTTTTATATTTACCTAAAATGATAGTTTACTACAAACTGTATTTTATGAAGATGTTAATTTGGGGTTTAAATGTCATTATGGGTAAAGCCTTATTTTTTTGCTCATATCTATTTTATCCAAAACTTTAAAGTTTTGGTCAATTTCAACATGTTTTATAACTTCATTGTGAAATCACAAGTGACATTTCTCCACTTAAATGTCCAGATTATTTTGTCCTGTTAATTAGGGGGAAAATCACATCAATTTGGAAGGGGTCAAATAATGACTCTTATCATACACTGTATACCTCCGCCTCTGCAGAAATCTCAATACGCACTCCTTGTTGAAGCAACGTTGAAATACATTTCTAATAATTCCGTCTCTGTCTCTTTTTTTAAGTGATTAATTAAATTATTGTTGAAACTAAAGATTTCAGCAGCAAATAAAACAAATATAATTTGTAAACTGTAAGTGAATCCTTCGCAATCCTTTCTACATTTTGATGAAAAGTCAGTTTGACAACTTGCATCACATATTTATAGAATTCAATATTCAGCAAAAATTATATAACGTAGAGAACAACTCAATATGGAAATGAAATTTACATCATTATGTTATTTGGCAAAGTAATTTTTTATCCTGTTTTTATCATTACAACAGGTTTAACGGAATATTGAAATTCATCTTCCCCAGGGAGTTTCAATCATTTTCGTTACCGAAATAGTTCTATCTGCTTTATCGCCTATAATTTTCTGCATAGTTACAGACACTTTCTAACATTGCTGATCGTTTTCCCACTGAGTTTGATTTTTCTCCTAACCATGCTTGATAACCATGTCGTTCTCTTATGTTGGTCATTAGTTTATCTTTGGGAGACAATTGTTTCAAGAAAAGCCAATAATTTACATTTAAAATTATAAAAGCTGTTCAAATCCTTTTTTTGTTCAAATAATAAGAGGCTTTCGTTGTTATATCTGACAGGTTCAAAAGACTATTTACTGTACGTGTAATAATATATATACACACAAGCATAATCCAAATCAACATGAGTTAATCTAAATAAATGTTCACAATGTTCATACATTGTTTAATTCCCTTTAAGCAAGTGACTATTGTTATATCGAAAAAAGTTGTATGTCCAAATTTGTTCATGTCACAAAATCCAAACACACACTGAAGAAAAACGAAGCATAGAAACAGTGCTATCATTGCTGTTCTTCATCTCAAATTCGCAGTTAGGCTATCAACACGAAAAATATTTTGCACCTCACTACATATTCAAATTGACCCTAGCACCGGATTGAGTGAGCTTCTTTGCTATAATATGTCAACAAGCTACCCAGGAGAAATGTAGATCGACACAGACGCGGGGAATTATAAACAAATTACAGAATTTAAAAGACGATGAAATCTTTAAATACTGTCATAACTAGCCCGACTAAGTTGTCGCAGAATCAATATACAAACATTTAAATGATCACATTCAATATATTTTATAGATAGCTTGACAGAAGATCATTTGAATAGGACAAACAATTGGGATAGACTGCATACATGTATACGTGTAACAATTTTGATAATCAAACTGAAAGAGTACAATATAGTAGTACAAATAAGAGAAGTTACAAGTATCTCAAGAATATAGATACGTCATAACTGTAAAAAGAAGAAAACTGGTTTCCTAATATTAACTGATTCCTATCGGCCATGCGTCTAGACAGTTTCGTGTATAAAGATGCATATATAAACCGTTAATTTTGTAGCAATATAGAACAAGTACTAGCCGATAGCATACATGAACTACTTATCTATCTATAAGAAATCTATTTCAGATACGAAGAGGCGAATACTTATAGTTTTGAGCATCATTGATGCCTTACAATTTAATATATATAAGACATCTCTAATGTGGTAACCTCGTTATTTGACGGTTATCGTCTTGTCATTATATTAAACAAATTTGGACATCTATTGACAGTATTTCACAACTGTGAAAAACAAGAGCATCTATTGACAGCATTTCACAACTGTGAAAAACAAGAGCATCTATTGACAGTATTTCACAACTGTGAAAAACAAGAGGAGTATAAAAATGAATCTGGGTCTCATGATTGTTCAAACCTAATACACTGAATGGAATGAATACATTTATATACAAAATGAGTTTGAACAATGGCATTCTGAAATTTAAAAAAAACTTCGTCAATTGAATAATTTGACTTACTGTTGGAAATAACGATATCATTTTGGAATGACTTATTTAAAAAGTTATTCCAAATTGGCGAGGTTGTTCAATATATTGAACAAAGTATCCAAATTAAGTAAGTGGCAATTTTAAAGCAGTCCTTTTGGTCTGTTTAATTTGTCTTTCATTACATTAACCTACTTAATAGTCTGTAGACAGTGGGTACTTAATTCATTATTTGAAGAGTAGGAATATTTTTGAGTTTTATGAGTTCTAACCCAGCAAGTGACAGGCGTATTCGATTCCTATTTTAATTGACTAGGATTGTCAACAACGACAAAATCTTGAGTGCTGAAAGTAGCGTTTAACATCAATAAACAATCAATATAGCATAGGGTGCTTAAAAATAGGCGTTTCACATCAACAAACAAGCAATCAATCAATCTTTCAGATATTTAGCCCGGTTGTAAGATATTTGCTATCTTACTTTTCTAAAGTTACTTACCTTGTAAAATAAATAAGAACTTATTGTATTCAAATGTTGTACGTTTTCTTACTTTTATTAAAATAAATGTATTATCAGCTGGAAAATATGTTATACAAGTGACAGGGGAAAATTTATATAAAAAAAAACGTCATGAAGGGGATGACAATCTACAGTAATCAACAAGTACATGTAAAATTGAGAATGGAAATGGAGAATATGTCAAAGAGACAACAACCCGGCCAAAAAGCAGATAACAGCCGAAGGCCACCAATGGGTCTTCAACGCAGCGAGAAAATCCCGCACCCGGAGGTGGTTCTCAGCTGGCCCCTAAATAAAAATGTGTACCTATTAATGGTTTTTAAGACAAAGAAAGAATACAGGAATGCACATAATGGTTTTTGAGACATAGAAAGAATACAGGAATACAAAGAGTCCATAAAAAATGTATCCGTCCCCTCTTGCAGTAAACATTTTTACATAGATCCTGTTTATGTATGTTCCTGTTAACATCTACATTGTAGCCATTATAATATAAGAAATAGTACATGCATATGCCATATGTATAACCTACAATTCACATTTCCGATAAAATGTTTAAGTTTTTATGCACGGCCGAAACAAAAGCTATAAGCAGGGAGAAGTTATAACTTCGTAAACACTGGGAGCATGCTACAGAACATACATTATCAAAAGAATATATCTTGAATGTTGACTGTTGACGTGAATTCTTTCCGTTGTCACAATAACACAGTGAAACAGAAAAAAAATATATTCGGCTCAAAATATACCGATGAAATATTGAATTTACATTACATGTGCTACACCATATGTGCAGAACGAATTTCTGTATAAATAAATAAAAATTATAGCCTACCTTTATAAATACTTTATCTATGGCGGTCTCCACAGTGTAAAGAAATATACTTTTGATGTGACATAAAATCCGGTAGATGACTGTCCTAAATGCGTGTTAAATCCTCATTAAACCATTCGGATTCAAACTTCACATTAAGGTTACATCGAGTAATTTGTTATAACTTTTATATTAACCTGAAACAAAATTAGAAAATCTTGTATAGTTCACCTTTATCGCTTTGTTTTTCAATATAGTTCCCAAGATGTTTCTACTGAATTAGCTTTACTGGACCAAACGCAATAGTTTTAATTTGCCTCTGTAAGGGTCTAGACGAGTACGAAACTGGTTTATAGGAAACAAGATACTTTTTTTTTTTAAATGAGATAAAATCGTTTAATAGACTATAATATCTAATCAAAGCATGTTGCGCAATCATAACTACATGTTCATATCGTGAGTCGTTTATCTCATTCATACAAAACTATATTCACTACTATATATTTTCGAACATAAAATTATATTCACATGCAGGTATATTTTCTAAGACATTTTCTATCTTGACATTTCAAACTCTTTGTTTTTGAGAAAGATGTTAAAATCAAATGTTTCTTTCTAAAACATCTTTTGCCTTTAACAAAGGTATTAAATAACAAAGGAGTAAGATATGAAAATCCTCACATAGTTGGCCTTATATACTAAACAAATGCTATCTTGTTTTCGAAAGATACAAATCTTACTTTACAAAAAAAAAAACACAAAAAACACGGATTCTAACAAAGCGTTCTCCGAAAATGACGTCTTGTCTATTTTTGACAGCTTAAGGGTCCCTGATGAAGGTAAATTCAGAAAAACGCTTCGGATACAAGAAATTAATAAAGTGTTATTTTCATTCACTAGCACTGGGTCGATACAAATTACTCAGGTGGACTGTTAGTCTCCGAGTATATCATTAACTCAGTATAGTCAGTGCTACTCGCATGATTTATAACAAACTTTTTACATCTCCGAGTATATCATTAACTCAGTATAGTCAGTGCTACTCACATGATTTATAACAAACTTTTTACATATTCTTCGTTGATAAATTAAGAATTATTAAGAAACTAATGTTCAAACTCCCTCATATAGTTGATCTTAGATGAATTCGGCAATTTTTTTTATGTGCCTTTTCGTCATGCGGCTTTTCACGTGTTTAGGTCTTATAGTGTTCAAATGTTTGGGTTGAGCGTTCCTGGTGAATGCAGAAAAGCGCTTCGGACGCACGAAATTATTATATATTTTTTATGTTTACTTAATTCGCATGAGGCAGACATCATAGAAGGCTTTCAATGGTGAAATAAAAAGTTTAGCACTAAATATCAACTTCAAGATACGCGAAAGAGGGAGTGTCCTATCACTGAATTATAAACACCAATCACTTTGAAACTGAAATAAAAGATACCACACATACAGCTAAGTGTATATCATAGCTTGACATACATCTACAGATTAGCAGCGACGTCTCATTGAGAACTAAAATTTACAACATAAGAGATGACTTCAGAGTTCCCCTGCACTATATAAGTTTAATGTAGCAAAATATCGTGAGCGCCTGTTGAAATGAATACTTCTCAGTTGATAGGAATTTTCAGATAAAGCCTTATTCAAATCAGAATTTCGCATTTCCAATGGAGCTACTGAACATTGACTTCTTAATGGTAAAGTATAATAACTGTGTGTCTGAACACAAAAGACCTGTTCCATTTGTCGTATCCATAACATATTAGATATAATCAAACCGAAATTTAATGACAATACTGAAACATACATGATGAGATTAAAGACCTACAATTTGGCATAAATTATGAATAACTTAGAATCATAAAATTTCCATTCCATTTCACTTGAAAGCTCACAAATAGAAAATATAGAACCTACATCCAGCCGAATTGGCTACTGTTAGTTAGCTTAACTTTCATAAGTCAATATGTCAATCACACAAAATGAGCACATGCAAGAAAACAAGATGGACGAAAGGAAAATCAGTAGAAACAGCGGCTTACTGATGTTCAAAACTCGTGAATCTTTGAATTGTAATTATACATACACAGAGGAAATCAAGAGGGAAGTCAATGTCATAAATTTTAAATGGACCGAATGCCTCAAATGGGACAGGAATTGATTACCCGTCAGGAACACCTGTATTAAGGCTCAATCATAAGTGTTTTGTGAATTGTTGTTTATCTGTTTGTCTTTTTGTCTTTTGCCGATTATGATCTTTCGTCGACTTATAATGATATAACGAAAATGGAAAATTATTGCATCCCCAACTCATCCGCAAGGTTATTAAATATCATCAGTATACTACAGTGCAAAAATCGAAATGTAGAAAACCCGTAAGACTTAGACATAATCAAAAGAAACAGATACCGACCTACAATTAAAAATCAACGGCATGCGCATTTACATATGACGTTGCGCACGATGTATGTACCAATTCCATTTTGCTATAGATTAGCATAAAAATAAATACGTAGACTGGTCAGTTCGATAAAAATATAGTAATTTCTGATTTAATTCATTCCATTAGACTTGAAATTAAAGAAAAAAAGGAATCGAAATTTAAAATACCAGGAATTATAACACTTAATTATCTCATTTTTACGCAAAAACGTAATGTCCAACGTTTCATTTTATGTGCAAAAGATCAGAGATCCGTTTCTCTCCTACGGTATTTTTTCTCTGATCATCGTAAAACTTCACAATAATATTGCTATTGTTATAATTATTCGCGTGTTAAAGCAAAATCAATATCACTGAAACCGTAATCCGGAAAATGTTATTTTTG